ACCCAGGATATTCTATGATTCTAGAGGTATTTCTGTGTCTGACATTTAGGATTTCCTAATATAAATCCACTTTCTGCTTTGGTTGCTGCTGTGCAGTGCACAAGATAGAGTGGAAACATGTTAAAAATGTTCCATCTTTGCACTGTATTTACATTGCTAAAAGAAAAAGTAATGCTTTTTATAGACTCCAAAAATGTATACTAATTAGCAAGAGAGATCTGGTAGGATTGTCCCTCAGCTGAACTACGGATTATTTTAAAAATTATATTCACACGCTGTATGGTTGTGGGTCTTTTAGGAGGTGTGTACTGGTCAAATAGTATTACTAATTTTTTTTCTGATGCTACAGCTCCAGTTCATTCAAATCTGTCAGCCCTAATGCTTTGCCTTGTTTGTGTATTTGTGAATAAGAATAAACCAGGAAGACAGATTCTGAATTTTCTAAAAGACAAAGAAATACTTTCCTCCGTCAGTTAGTCTGCTGCTCTTTCCCCATAAATCAGACTTTGTTGGAAAGATTTTCTAAAAATGATAATTGCAGGGCTTTGAGTCTCATCATTAAGACCTTAGCCATCAGTGAGAGAAAGGATTATTTCTTTGCTTTAAAATGGAAAAAAATCTCTGAGAATTGTTTCCCTTTCATTTCTGTCTCTAAAGTATTGCCTAGAAATAGCTTAATCCATGAAATATTTTTTAAAACATCATTTTTCCTACAACCTGCAAATTCCAAAGAAGTGAAAGTGGCTAAGTTTTAGCTGATCTCCATTCTCCTTTTTTGGGATAACCAAAATGACATTGGATATAACATAGATTGTAAACAACTATGAATTTGCTCATTAAATTATGTCATTCCATTTTATGTGTAACATTAAAATTATTATTAGTTAAGCCGTTAAGAATTTATAGAATTAATATTGCGTATGCACACCCAATTTTTCTCCATGTCTATTTGTCTTATGATGTTTTCCAATTATGCAGTCCCATACTATTTTTACATGACCCCATCTCTTAAATTTGCAGGCTAGAAGACACCGTCTCAAAACAAATTTATTAATGAGTTAAAAACAAAAAAGGGACCAATGCATTGTGGTGCTCAGTGCCTTAACATTTAATCATTTAGTAATTTTAATAGTATTTAAAAACTAGCATTATAAATTCCACCTCTGGAGTTGAATGATTAGGTTAGTCTGTGAGAGTTGGGCACCTGGAACAGGGATCCTGAGAAGCAGCAGTCTTGAATATTGAGATGTTAAATTAATTAATAGAAAGTAACAGAGAGAAACGTTTAGCTGAAAACCTGTTTCCTACACAGTTGTGTACATTTAGTTAAGGACTTCATTAAAACTGGAAGTCAGAACTTGAAACTCTGACATTCAGGGTTCAGACCTCTTTTCTATAAAAATCTTTCAGTACAGTACGGCTTACTGCAGTGCTGAGTGCCTACAAAATTGGAAACTTGAGTTCTTTTTATCTCAAGAAGTTTGAACCTGTATTTCTAGCATCCTGTGATGATTTTCCAAACAGGCAAATCAGGTCCTTTTAAATACTCAGGTTTATAGATAGCTAGTTTCTATATCCTAGATAGCTTGGGGGGGGAATTAGGCACCTAGGACTTAGCCTGGGAAAGGCAGAGGTGTTGATAGGAAGCTTTTCTCTGCTCATCCTACACCTCCATAGCTTCTTTGGTGGGTTTGGCACAGTATAATGGATCTCTTGTGTAACGTAAGGACCAAAACACTTTCTCAGTGATATTTGCTTTCTTGGGTCTGCCCAGATCTTCCGTGAAATCAATGTTGTGTAGTGCCATGTACATTATGTTTTCCAAACTTGCATAGAAGAGAGATCATTAATTTTCTAATGGACTTTCCCATTCCCTAGTTGGTAAACTCAAAACCAGTAAAGGTGTTTAGACACCGCACGGGCTTTGAGAGGTAGCTTTGTATGTGTGACCACTGGTGTCTTTTACTTCACAATGAATATGAAGTATAACATAATGTATATACACATATAGTACACAAAGAACTCCTGTAAATAAACTGGTCAAAATTATCAAAATAGCAAGGAGCATGAGAGGTGAGGGGCCTGGGTTTTCAGAGTAGGTAGCATTTTTCCAGCATTTATCTTTGGAAGAGTATTCCCATTCACCTCTTGGAATTGTGAACAACCAGCACTTCCTTTGCAGAAAATGTCAAATATACATATAGCCGCTCTTTAGTGTAATAGCGTTATGACAGGGTCCTTTGGCAGAAAATTCACTTGTCAGGTTCTCTTAAAATTTCACTTGTTGCAATGTTGTTCTTTCGTTGGCCTCATGAAAGACTTCTTAGGCTCATGTTTTCTCTTTGTTTTAGTGCTTTTTCTGAAATGAATTTGCTTGACGCAGCTGTTCTAAGTCTTAAGTGACCTCTTTTAACTCCTTGTAAGTTTTCCCTTTCCTAGAATACCAAGTATGTGCACAGGCTGGGTTTAGATTTCATGCATTAGGATATAAGATAATGCAGGCAACAGGCAATACAATAGATTGTACTTATATAACAGAAACAATATGCAAATCCAGGAAATAAAAAGATAGTACACTCTATGAATATTTTTGTTTCCTTCTCATCCTATAATATTCTAACAGATTAAATCAAATGAAATCATTGGGATTTCCAGGTTTATTTCCCTGTAGCTACTGATCACTAAAAAAGAATAATTGTTGAATGCTTTTTTAGGTCTGCAGAAGTAGTTCTAGTTATGCATATTTACAAGAAAATGTTACATTCATTTTCATTACAGAGTAGGCTAGAAAGGGAAATAAAATATGTAAATATTTTAATGAGAATGATAAGCATCTTTAATGTGTCAAATGATGAAATTGTACGATGCAACAAAATGAATATAAAATTTGCATGAATTAAGTAAAAGTGAGTACATCTTTAAATAACGAATCCTTTATTCTTCAGTTCCTAACTTATTTCTGGAGGTTGCCTCAACTGAGATTTTGTGTTCCCATGAAGTTTTGTTTTACAAGGAGAGTAAAATTATATTTAATGCAGGATCAAGTCTATTTCAACCTCTGGAGTGCAACTGGGTAGAAGTTTTTTGACCTTAATTTTTGAAAGTTGCAACTTTTCTTGCACCCTCCAGATTTACCAATTTAACTAACTTGCTATTGGAACAGGTTTTTTAAAAACAATCCTTACAAAATTTTTCATCTGTTTAAATTAGTCATTTTAGAAACACATGTTTAGCTATACGGGTGCAGTTTCTAAATTAGATAAGAAGTAGGCCTGACACCTAGAATTTCATTTTACTGTTTTTTTTTTCCCCCATCTGAAAATTCCAAAGTTAGTTCTTAAATTTGGCCTGGTATGCAAGACTCTGAGCCTATGCCTTGTCCTTGTTTGGTGAAGTTCAAGCAGAGGTTAACAATATAATTTAGCCAAACATAAAGGTTAATAAATAGCTAACAAAGCGTTATATATTCTTTTCTACTAGAAAGACACTGGTTTGTATAGCTTTAGTCTGAAAATGTTCCCTAAAGGGAACTTTCCCTGCACTTGGTTCTTTGTTCTTCTATTTAGTTTCTTTATCTCAGATCATAACTACAATGGAAGACTGCACCAACCTTTGAACATTTAGTGCAAGATAAGATTCAATTCAATCATAAAAAGTCTTTCAGGACTCACTAAGCTTTTTATCCTGCAATTTAAAATATTTGTACAGCTATAAACTGTGTAATAGTATGGTATAACAATTTTACTAGAATAAAAAAAAGGTTTACTACAAAAATATGTTCTTATTCACTAATGAATTTTATGCATTCTTTACTAAGTTTTCAAAATGTTAATTCTATTGTAATTGCCCGCAGATATATAATCACTTAGCTAGGTTAACAGATTTTGCTACTTGAAACATTTTCCATTTAAAGTCACTAATGGGGAAAAAAAAAAATCTTCATTGTATAAGATTGCATATCTAATTCAGCTTCTCTTAGTTTTTCACACTAATTTTTTCCAACATATGGTTTAGAATCACTTAGCTGATGAGTTGTGTGCAAGTGAACTTCCACAAGTTCACTTGTGGAACCGAACTTGCACTTCCACAAGAGAGAGTGTGTGAGATTGAGAAAATAGTTGATATGCTTGTTTTCCTTTATGTTTCTGTGTATTTTGAAATTTTGTACTTAAAGAAGTATGTATTTTCAGCTATGTCGGGCATCTCAGTGTTTGGATAGAGAAGTAATAGTGAAGAAAATGCCTGTGTAGTGCATACATAAAGTTGTCCCAATGGCGATTCGGATGGTGCCAGTTGCTTTTTTTCATCACTACATTAAAGTTCAACAAAGAAGTTGAGGGGATGGATGGGAATCCCATATGTCCTTAGACCTGATCTGTCCTCATAGATCAGATGATACTTTCTTCTTTCTGAAAGATGAGAAGAGGGGGTTTCACTGGAGGGAGTTGTTAATCACTATGATTATGATAGCCGAGAGATGTCTTTGCCATGACGAGGCTTAAATCCTCATCACTTGTGGCACTTTGTATGAAAATAAACATATTCGGTCTAGTATTATGGGTAAATTCCAGTTTGGAGAAGATCCACTATTAAATCTGCATTTTCATCTATTCTTTTTCATTTTGTAAACTCCGTTACATGTTAGAGTACTAAAACCATCCTGTGTCATAGAGCAATCCAGAAACAGTAGTGTTGTTTAGATAAATCTTGTTCTTCTTCTGATATGGTAGAATTTATATAAAACTTTGGATGAATTTTGTTGAACTATGCAGCTCTTTCCTCTGAATTCCAGACCCAAACTACATCATTTTCTTTTGCAATTGAACACAGGTAAATTTTGACTTGATGGAAACACTCATGGTGCTATGACCCCAAGTTGTAAAAACACCCAGCTCAATATTGATTGTATTTTAGCCTAAGCTCTCGTTAATGAAAAAAAGGTATAAGCAAAAAACCATTTCTGATAAATGTAACAGTCTGGTTTTATGCCTGTATTTCAGAATGTTCCTCAAGAAGTCAATGAAACAGATGATTCAGGAAGCCTGACAAGCCTTGACAGTCTTGAGGCTGGAGAACAAAATGGAAATTACAGAACACCGAGTAGATCATCTTTGACTACACAGTGTGACTGTGCCCTGTACAACCCCCAAAAATCACAGACTAGGAATAATGGTTTGCTTCATACAGCTCAAAGTACTTCTTCTAAACATATGCATCTAAATAACTGCCCGGGAAATGTAGATTCGCAACACTACCACAACTTACCTATTCATGATGTTTTAGCTAAACGCAATGTTCTAACTCCTGTTGAGCATGTAGGCAATTCAGAAAAGGAATCATCTGCTTCCCACAGATCTGGAAACAAACATGCAGAGTTCTCTACCTCTGGTAAGCAAGAAAGCTCTTTTTTTCTACAAAACATAGAAGAAGAAAGAAGCAAGCCATATTCTGGAACAGCTAGCACATTAGCCACTTCTAGTCCTGTTTTCCATCCTAGCAAAGACTGGGCCAGCCCTGATTCTATTCCAGGAGAAGGAGTTCAAGATCTGATGCAAGATCAGAGTTTTAAAATGACCCCACAAAAAAGAACTATAGCTGTGGAAACCTCCAGTCAACTTATTGCAACAGCTAGAACATTATTTCCTAATCAGGGATGTTCTGCTGGCATTCCCAGCACAGCTGATACATTACCAAAGGACAAAAACATCAGAGCAGAGTTTTCAAAAAATACCTCAGGAAGAGTGACTGAAACAAAAGAAGCAAATATTAAATGTATTGATGACATTAATCCAGGATCATCTTTATTTCAAGACACACCAAATGCCTCAGTTTTGTGTGATGTTAAGCAACAGAATGACGAAGAGGAAGAAAAGAGAAATATGGTTGAAACTATGTTACTGGTGTCTGATACAGAGTTCAATTCTGGCACTGCTGCACTGCACAAAACCCTGAAAAACAATATTCTTGAAAGCAATCCAGCAGAGTTATTCAGCAGTATCTTAAAGAAGAATGCTAAATACAAACCCAGTAATTTCAAAGATGTGGTTACGAACCAAGGGACCAGTTTTGGAACTCGACTCATGTCTTCTGTCAGAGACAGTATAGAACTGGCAAAGATGAAAAAGGACAATGCAGAAAATGAAAAACGCAATAGAAGTCTAAGATGGTGTGATGATATTAGGGAGATAATAATAGAAACTAATGAACAATGCGATGAAAAAAACACCAGTGGAATACCTTCTGCACAGCTGCAATATGTTCAAACTACAAATAATGCTCCTAAGACTACTAATCTAAGTATTGTTGCTCAACCTTCAAACTCCATGTTCATAAAAAATCATCAGGAAAGGTCTCATATATCAAACCCAAATGTTAATACTGAAGAATCAAATAAAGAATGCACGTCTCAGAATATATCTACTGGATCAGTTTCTGCTAAAAATGCTTGGATGGTATCAAAAGTTGAAAAAAGTAAACCCCCAGTATGTAGTAATAATGCTAAAATTAATGATGATAACCAACTCAAAAATATGGCAAAAATTGCTAGAACAACAACATCTGTAGGAGCCCAGTCAACTTTTATGCCAAAGAAGAGAACAGGCACTATAATCCAACCGCAGTTGGTCACTGGAGACAACAAAACTCGAAAAGCTCCAGGGAAATTGCTAGTACCTCACCCACCATCTGTACCTCTGCTGGGAAATCGAAGTGGCAAAAACGCAGCTAGCCCTGGGTGTCAGCCACTGCTGTCTTCCAGTCTTCAAGCTACCACTACAAGCAGGAATGATTTAAATGAAAGGCATGTTGTGTTAGCAGATAAGGTTTTAAATAGAAACAGTACAAAAACCAAGGGGAGTATTACTTATTCTAACGTGGTCACTGCCAGATTTACACCTGCCTGCACCACAGCCAAATACAAACTGTGGCCACAAAATACTTGTTCTGTAAATAGTGTTCAGACAAGCGCCTGTCAAGATTGTTCCGTAACCTGCTCTGAAAGAAGACTTGCTAACACAGAAAACAGATTACATCTCCATCATATCCCAGCATCTGGAAAAACAAGTACCTCCTGCCAAGGAGCGCATACTGCCCGAACTCAAAAAAACTCTGCTACTGGTAAGAGTCATGTTTCTGGGTTTGGGAGAGGGGGGATGTTCAGACAAAAGTCTTTTTCAATTACATCACAAATTTGTTTTCAGTTAAAACATCCAGCCTTTCATCCATTCACACAACACAGCCAGTTTTAACAAGTTTTCACCATTTGTCATTGTCATTTCTATTCTAGTGGTGCCCAGAGGCCTCTAAATGTCAATCCCCATTTTTAATAGCTGACTACAATATTAAATGAAAAGGAAGTATTTTCCCTGAGATTATATTCCTGACTAATGGAGCAGATGTGACAGGTGGATTAAATAATGATATAGGAGGAAGTGACTAAGTTTATATGAGCAAGTTTTACAAGGTAACTGAGAGTCATAGCTTGTTGTCCAACAGTCACTGCCACTTGAGAGTGAAAGAAATATAGATCCACCATGTTCTTAAAATGCTGTAAATGCCTAAAATTATGAAGTTTTAGTCCAGGTAATGCAATTAATGCTCAAAAAAATGAAATGTAAGTTAAAAATAATGAGCTTCTACCAGACAAATTTTGCTGTGCTGCAAAGTATATCCAATTTATAAAGAATTTTAAGAAATTTGAGGACCAATCCTGCATTTCATTAAAAATTAGCCTTGGGAACAAGAAGATACAGAGACTGATTGGTAAGATAGAGGAAAGATGCATAAGAAATTTTGGGATAATAAACTTTCATCTCCTGGGTTTTACATTTCAAAATAGGTTTCATGCTTTTGGTTTTCCTTGTTTCTCCTCTGCAGCCTAGCTATATTCTGTGCCTGGGGCGCTGTTGGCATGCTTTGCTTGTGATTTGTATGTTGTGTCCTGGTTTGCTTCTTACTGAGGACTGCAGCTAGAGGCAGAGCTCCTGAGGCTGTAGACCCTACTTCAGGGACAAGCAGCACTCCAAACTGCTTCACCTACTGGGATCACCCCGAGGATTGGCCATGCAGCTCAAAGATACTTTCTAGCAAAACAACTAATTCTCATAACTTAAAAAAACCCTAAATTTCTAGTTTTATCTACAGTAATACATAATTTTAACTATGGAGTGATTCAGAACAGCTCTGTTGTGTAAGAGCAGAGGTAGGTGAATATTCTTGGCCTAAAGCAGGGGTGGGAAATGAGAAATGTTATCTGCTTGTCCATTCCAGTTGGAAGTCAAACAGATGAGCTTAAGATAGGTGTGACTTAAGTTAAGCTATTTGATTTTACATTGGAAATGAATCAAGTCTTGCATTACCATGCCTTGCCTCCAGCAGACATACTTGCCCCCCTTGATGTCCTTATTTGCACATGAGATCAACGAATCCGGAACTTTTCTGGGTCAAAGTTGTGTGCACTATTACTACTGTCTTTGCTGCAACTTTGAACACTACATCCCCAGTGTCATATAGCTCCAGCTCTTTTAGAGGAAGACCTGAGGAACCTCTTTTTAAAATTTGGGTGGCTGGCCCTCTCTCAGCATCTACTTAGATTTTGTGTTTTGAAAGTCATCTTTGTTTTAAATACTGTAGATAACTCTTAATGACTTGCTACTGTTTGTTCTGTTGCCTGCAAATGCACATGGATCCCCATGGTCTCTCCTGAAGTGCTTGCCATGAATACTGCCTTGTCCTTGAGTAAAATATCTGCTGTGGCACTATTACAGAGTTCAGTGAGGGCTGTGAAGACACTGTAGAAAATGTGATCTATTGCAATGCTTGGCCAAACGTACAGAAAGAATAAGTGAGAACAAGACGAATAGATAAAATTGTTGTCCATGAGAATCTTCCTTTAATTGGGCTTCCAGGCTTCAAGTGGTATATCTTCTGGCTGACACATAGAATCATAGAATCATTATGG